GGAGGCTAAAACATATAAAGGAACAGTTGCTGGAATTTATGCACAAGAATCTGGTCAACTAACAGCACTAAATTGGCGATAGATAAGGGTCAGTGGAATTCAAGAGAGGAGGGCTGGACTTGGATTTCTTGTGCCAATGCAAGGACCCTAAACTAATGACGCATTTATATCTAAAACATATAAGGAACGGTTGCTGGAATTGGGTATGTCTAGTTTAATGAAGAGAAGGATGAGGGGGGACATGATAGCAGTGTTCCAATATCTCAGGGGCTGCAACAAAGAAGAGGGTGTCAAGCTATTTTCCAGGGCGCCCGAAGGCAGGACTAGAAGCAATGGATGGAAACTAATCAAGGAGAGAAGCAACCTAGAACTAAGGAGAAACTTCCTGACAGTTAGAACAATTAACCAGTGGAACAACCTGCCTCCAGAAGCAGTGAATGCTTCAACACTGGAAGTTTTTAAGAAGACACTGGACAGCCATTTGTCCAAAATGGTATAGGGTTTCCTGCCTGAGCAGGGGGTTGGACTAGATTATTGTTGTTGTTGTTGTTGTTGTTGTACAGTATTAGCAAAATCCTGTAATTTAGGCCTACCGGTGGCTGTTGAATTAACTGAAACGGTCCCTCAGCCATCTAAAGTTTTCATTTGTAGCTAAGGACAAGATACAGTGAATGCAAAGGTTTCTGAGCTATGGTAAAACTCATTTGAAACTACCTGGATAGAGATAAGCTGCTTTATTTTTCACAAATACTGATAAATTGTACTGTACAGGTAGTCCTCATCTTATGACCACAATTGAGCCCAAAATTTATGTTGCTAAATGAAACATTTAAGTGAATTTTGCCCCATTTTACGACCTTTCTTGCCACAGTTAAGTGAATCATTGCAGTTGTGAAGTTTATATGATTGTTATAGGAATCTAGCTTCCCCATTGACTTTGTTTGTCAGGTTTCAAAATCTGATCACATGACCTCTGGACACTGCAAATATCATAAATATGAACCAGCCAATAAGCATCCGAATTTTGATCATGTGATCATGAGGATGCTGCAATGGTCGCAACTGTGAAAAACGATCATAAGTCACTTTTTTTCAGTGCCGTTGTAACTTTGAATGGTCACTAAATGAACTGTTGCTAAGCTGAGGATTACCTATATTCCTATCTCCCACTGTCCTTTTCCATGGTAACTTTCTCATTAGGTTCTATTTTCATGGGCAACTAGGTAATTTGGCAGAGAGGTTGGGGAACATAAAGTGCCAGGAAGAATTGGGTTGCTCAAATATGTTCTTTGTGAGAGCTGAAGCAGCCCAATTTATTTTAAAAAAGATTGTGTAACCTGATGTACGACTTTACATGGTAGAACCCTTTAAGAAATCCTTTAGAGTAGGATTTGTGTGTCAGCCTGGAAAGTCAGTCCAGACAAGGAAACCAAAACAAGAATACTAATATATTATCTATATTGTAGGCTTATAATAACAGAATCTTGCAAGTCTAAAAATGCTCCCCCCCCGACCTACCTTTATGTTTCAGAGAATTAGGGAAGGTCAGTTTTGAGATGCTTTGTCCACCCTCCATTCCTGCTTTGGACTCAGATTTATCTTATCAGACCATTGTCTAGGCTGGTCTCCTTCCTCTCCTTCCTTTCTCTCAAAGTTATTCTCATAGCCCATTACAGTGATTGTGGCTGTGTAGTATGCCACAAGCTATGAATATAAGTTTAAGGGAAAAAAAATCTCTATTTGGAATGGCCAGATACTCAAGGTAAATAATAATTTGTTAGCCACATAGCAATTCTGTAGGAACCAAGCCGAAAAGGACCATATAGTTCAGAAATATTGCCCCCTGGTGTTAAGTCTCTAAAATTGTGCTGCGTTTTCTAAAATACCCAAATTATTTTAAAACACTGTCATACATTTTTATAAACAGATATTTGGGGCTTTCACCACTTGGCAGTCATGGGGAATAATCTTGGTATATGTTTGATCATCCTACAATTCACAGGGTTGTTACCCATAATGTGATAATTTATCATTACAATGAATTTGGGTAAGACTCTTTTCTTATTATGAGAGCAAGGCGACCAGAGGGAGTTATTTAATAGTTGAGGTGTTCTGTTGCTATAATACCTGAAAGCATTTTCTTGTACCTCCCTTCACCCATACATGTAGTCTGAAATCTAAAAGGTAGAGAAACATCCCCAAAGTGTTTATTTGGGGAGGAGGGTCAAGTACCATACAGGTAGTCCTCGACTTACAACCACAATTGAGTGAAACATTTGTTAATTGAGTTTGCCCCATTTTACCACTTTTTTGGCCACTGTTGTTAAGTGAATCATTAAGTTAGTAGCACGGCTGTTAAGTGAATCTGGCTTCCCCATTGACTTTGCTTGTCAGAAGGTCACAAAAACTGATTAAGTGACACTGCGACCGTCATAAATATGAACCAGTTGCCAAGCATCTGAGTTTTGATCATGTGACCATGCAACGGTTGTAAGTGTGAAAAACAGTCATAAGTCACTTTTTTCAGTGCTGTTGTAACTTTGAATGGTCACTAAATGAACTGTTGTAAGTCAAGGACTACCTGTATTTTTCTACAAGTAATTTGTTGGGGCCTTTCATGTAATGAGGCTATTTGGGAGGGGATGAAAATAGCCTTTTCTTTCATTCTGACATCCTCTTTTTCTTTATCCTTGACTTACTTTAAAAAATGCTAGAAAACAGATGGTATCCATGAATTGTCTAAACTATTTGCTTGCAAAGAATTTTGAAATTAAGGGAAGAGCTGTGATACTAAGTTGAGGGTTGTTCAACCTCCTTGTATGTAAGTCAGTAAAAAATGTTTAATTGAAAATAAATTTGAATAAACCTTTTGTCTATTATCCTGTCTCTCCCCCACATGCTGAGAACTCTTGCAGCCTAATGTGGAATGAGTCCAGTTGCTTTCAATGGAAGTTACTGATTAATACAGTACAATTTAGACTGCAATCTAAGGAATCCTCTTTGATTAAAAGGGAAGGCCAAGTTTTCTTATGTGTTAAGCAAAGATGGGTCAGACAAGGTAGTTGTGGGCAAGTACAGTTATACTTTGGGGGGGGGTAGTGGGATGGGTTTTAATCCAAAGGCTACCTGGTCTCTGGCTTTCTATACAGACCCCACCAATATATTTTCTTAGGAAATAACACTCTTTTTCTTCTGCTCTTCGCTCAGTAGCCTAATGACGCAGAGCACTGAATTGTATTCACTGACGGGAAAAAAGAGCAAGCCAATATGAAAAAAATGCAATTCACAAAACACTTGGAACAGAAGTGTAGAATGATCTACAACTCAAGCTGGTAGATTGTAGGTTATAAATTCCTCATTTCAGCTTTAGAAAAAACATGCCCTCTTCTGTGCCTCCACAAAGATCATAAAGGTAAGGCAGAGAACAAATTAAAAATTAACATATATGTATTTTCTGTCTGGAAGATATTCAGCTGGAAAAGGCACAATAATGTACTGAAAAGAAACATTTTGCAATATAACTAGAATGAGTTGAAACTGGTGTATTTCATAGTAGTGTGTGCAAACCACTTTAAATTCAGATACTTTTGAGTAAATCAGATTATTCAATTTTAAAACATTGTATTTCAAATATGAAACTAATATTTTGAACATTTTTGAAATGTACTGATTGATACAATAACTGAGACAGCATACCGTGATATGTAATAATTATTTTGAACTCCAAACAACTGCTTCAAAGTCAAAATGGGGTCTCTCAAATTTCCAAATCATTGGAATAGGAAACATTCTGTACTTTAATAGACTGATAAATGAGAATGTCTTGATTATATTTGTCCCTTAAACAGTGTTTATCTTTAAAAAATTAAGGTTGAAACCATGATATATGCCACTGTACCACAGACAGAACACATAAAAGAGCACTGATTTTATTTTATTGACAAGGGGGAGAGAAAAAAAATCGGTCACCATTTAATTAACTGAAATCTGTTTAAAATTTTTAAAATGCAGTAAAACAAATGCACGTGCAGATGTTTTGCAGATAAGCCTGCTGAAGGACAGGACTTAAGCTACAATAAGATCAATCAGGCAGCAAGATTATTAGCAAATAGAGTAGGTAAATTACATTATTAAATATTTCTTTGAAACTTCCAATATAACAAAGGGCAAACATCAATAACACCATTAAATAAAACCACAGCAGGTAATAGTTTCTCCTCTAAACTTCTATACAGTATATAATAACTGTTTTGTGTTTTAGTTATTTCCTCTGATAAAGTTGACTTCAGTGAAGTCTCAGCAAGGCCACTTTTGAATGAAAGCCTAACATTAGACAAGCAGCTGTTCCAATACCCTATTATAATGAAGACATGGAGGGTATTGTTCTATAACTGAAATGTTGAAAATCAGATTTATTTTCATCTCATTTTGTTTAAGGCCAATTTTAGCTAGCATGTGAAGAATTTTGAGGAAAAAAAATACTAGCAAAGCTAGCTGCTTCTTGGTAATTGCTTCTTGGTAGCCATTGAGGAAAATGTCTCTTGCTTTCTGTAATTGCTTCTGATTTTTGCAGTTTTTCTTCATGTTTGTTTTAGAAAAAAGAGCAGTCACAGTGCTTTTCTACAATTTTGTATGCATTTCTGTGTGAATGTTTGTATATGTGTATGAGAGTTCTGTTTTGCCTTTATAGGTTCATTTTTGGCTTAAGTTTCATGTTTAAATCTTTCCCCTCTTGATCATTAGAGGCAAGAATTCACTTTAAATAGTGGTATATATATTTTTAAAAAAGTAGGAACATGATGAAGTATCTAATAACTTTTTGCTATCCAATATCCAATTGACTTTGCTACAATTCAAAATTGTAAAAAATAGTGGAATGAAAAGATACAAACATTACACCTGACAATGTATTTGTCAAGTGTTTTCACTAAGACCCCATGTACCACATATTTTTTTAAAAATCATATTTATATCCATTTACATGAGACACATATTAAAAGAAATTCACCATAAATACATGTAATTCTAATATATTACAATAAAACAGATGGAACACGTTTCAAAATGAAGGCCCCCTTTTGATAAAAGCATTATTTCTGCACATTGGCCAAATTTGTCAGGATGTGTACTTTTAAAAATTAGTAATTATTAATTAAACTACATCAGATGTGCAATCTGGACAATATTGGTGCTACACACTATTCAATCATTTTAGTGGAGATTGTGACCAACTTTCGTGTCAATTCCACAGAAAGGATTAAAAAATTGTGCGACAGTAGTATTTGGTAGGTTGCACATTACAACTAAATATGTAAAAAGATCACCACACATTTTAGTTTGATAAACATTTATATTTTCTTCCCTATTACCCTGTTCTTGGAATAAAAAGCTTCTTAAGATGGTGGTAGTGCACTTCAGGTAAAATAGAAGAAAGAGGTGGCATCTAGAAGTAAGAAAAAACAGTTCATTCAGTAATAACCTTTATGCTGCTATAGATTCATTTACAGTAATAATCTCTGAGTAGCAATTGTAAAATGAAGCTTAATTGAGGCAGGAAAGAGGAAAGGCAGTGTGAAGGTGGGATCAGTAAAAATACATGGTGGAAGATTCACTGGTTGCATTTAAATTCATCTCTAAGAAAAGCTAAAATAGCTTTAAGAAATCTTGTAATTTTCTATTTAAATGTTTGTTTCAAAAACTAATGTTAGAATAACATGAAGTAGAGATGTTTATACTGTATATTAAGGATGCAGATACAGGAAGGTAACTGCAGAAAAAATCTCAGTAAAACCAAGAGAGTTTATTTATTAAAACAGTTGTATAGGATTATAGTTCCAGTGTGTCTTTTTTTTCTTTTAAACACCACTACCTTATTTTGGAAAAAAAATAAATTGATATAATTGATATAATTGATATAAATTTATTTTAATGAATAGCATGTTTTAATAAAAAATACTGAGCTTGCTGTTCTCTAGTGGGAAGGCTGTAATGTTTAAGATATATTTTAGAAAATATATGCATTTTGAAAGATGATGTTTTCATGATTATAGGATTTGTCTAGTCACTGCTGGACAAAGTATAATCATTGTTCTAATGAACACAGTTGCCACTGCATTGAACTGTGAGTGACATCACTGTTTGAACAGTAGTAATTGTAAATTACATGGGTAAACTTTTTATTTTTGCCTACATTTTCAAAAGTGATTATTTTTATAAAAAATCCGTGATTTATATTTTCTCCCTTGGCTGTCATATGTTCAACATACCCTGCTTTAAAAACAGATTAAATAATCAGAGAATCAATGTCTACTATCATTACATTATTGTTTTTTAAACTTATGTTAAAGGCAGATACACTTAGCAATCATGATATCTTAATGGCTCAGACTTCCAAATATTACTTAACTTCAAGAGAAAGGATAATGATTTCAGCCAGCTTTAAATTAATTTAATTAAATTAAATAAATTACATATGAGAGCAGAGTATTTAAATAAATGTAATCAAAGGTAATTTGTTTTATTTGGAAAACAACTATTTTTTACAGCAGATCAAATTCTTTAAATACCAACCCCATGGCAGGAACAGAGCAGACTTCAGCAAGTGAGCAATTAGTATAGAGAAAGATACAATTGGTATTTGTTAGATTTTTTAGATTATAGAAGAGAATGTGGGGTGAGAGGTAAGAAAAATAATTTATGATTTTCAAAAGACTGTTTTAGATAGGCCAGAGACATTCCTGGAAGAACACAGACACACACTTAGGAGATAATTTTAAGAACATAAAATATTATTGGATTTTGCTTTTTTTCCAACTTTCAAGGAGCCTAGTGGGCCTACACACTGTACATTAAATTTTGTAATGGAAGAAATGATTGCCATTCAATTACATATTTGCTAGAGAAGCATCATCATCAAATGTCTTCAATGTTACGATCAAGAGTTTGTGTAGTTCTTAGTGCTCTCTGAGCTTTGTTGTTTGCTTGCAAATGTTTCATTACTCAGTTAGGTAACATTATCAATATGAGTGTGGGGGTCTGCTCTGTGTGTGTGAGTGTGTTTGTGTGTGTTTGGGCGAGGGTATAGTTTCCTCTATTGGAACAATAGTTTGTTTTCCCAATTTGACCATCAAATAACAGTGGTATATCAGAAAACAAATTAGAATTGTCTGTTACTTTCTGAAGAAATACAAAGAGGATTTATTATTGGGTCCAGAGGTAGCATCAGAAATGTAGCTCTTAGAACATGACTGAAACTGGTCCTCCCCCCCCCCCTTCCATTCAATCATGTTCCATTCTTTGTGGCTCTAGAACATGGCTGAAACTGCCCTAAAATGTTGTATATCATTCTAACTATTTGCAGTAATCCTTTGGAAGTTAGCGTGAAACAAACAAGTACAACAAAAACTAGTATCCAAGTTATATCTTAAGGAAATTAAGGCTGTAGAGCCCATCTAGGATATGAGATATCAAAAAAAATTCTTGGCATGGAGGGATAGTTTATCATATGTATCTTGTCCATCTCAACTAGAAATGTTACAGCCCAGGTCATTGCCAGCATTGCTGAAATGCACAAGCCTCCAGCAGAAGCCCAAAGCATCTTTTCCATAAAGAATGCAGCCTTTCATGTTTTTTTGAATGAGTACTCACTTCAGTTCGGAGCTCTTTTTCATGCTAGATATGTCAACAGGAATATGTGCGAACTGTAGAACTGTCTAACCTCTGCAACCGAGCTGAAGCAACTGCAAATAAAAACCCAATAATATTAAGAAACTTGAAAGGTGAAAAACATCATTTTAATAGAGTTTTTCTAATATAATAAGTAGCTGTGAGCTATTTTATTTTACCTTTAAGCTTATTTAGTTCCAATTGCTTAGTTTCCTCTTTTAGTGCTTTGCCTAAAATGATGTTATTTCATCATAAATATTAACAAACATAAGCATTTTCCTCCATGATATAAAATCAAGATCAGACAATATATTTAATATCACTCTTTGAATGGAAGGCAGGTAAAGTATATTTGTTCCGCTTCAGATATTTATCTGTAGGCTAAATGTGCAAATAGAGTTTATGTTCATATGTCCAAATTGCATAGTCCATATATAAATTAACTCCGAACCTGAATATGTAATCAGAATTTTTATACCTAGTGTGACCTGCAGACATCCAGTGGAGCTGGAGACAGGGAAAAATGTCCATCTGTGTTGGGTGGGGTCACTTGGGATTTCCAATAATGCATTAATCCAATAATGAAACAAATCCAGCATTGGATAATTTGCTTTGAGAAATAGCAATTAAATAATTAATAATATTTAATCAGCAACTGAAACACTTAATTTTTGGTCAAGTGTCTTGAAAGGGAGACCTATATTGTTTTCTCGTATTCACAAATATCTTGCATGCTTTCTTCATAATGGACATTGCCAGGGCTTTTTTTGTCATAGAACGCCCAGAACGGAGTTCCGGCACCTTTTTTGGATGGAACCTTGTAGGGAAGGCAAGGCGGGTGGTATGACGTGTGTGAGTTCCGGCACCTTTTTTTTTTTTTTTTTTTTTTACAAAAAAAGCACTGGACATTGCTAATAATCAAGCACTTTACAAACAAAATGTTAATAGTTTAAAATATTATTTGAAAAGTTTACTCCGATCTCATTGCCTTTTTCCTGCCTCTCGAAGATATATTTCTTTTACTCTCTATTAGCTGTGAAATAGATGTAACTGATTTCAATATTTTACATTAAGTGTAACTAACAGCCATGCAAAGTTGGAACATTCATTTTGAAAGTAGGTGTTAGCTGGCTTACCATCAGTTGCCATTTTTCGTGACTGTCCTGATGTTGTAGTTAACCTAAATCCAGCTGGCAGTGTTTCTGAAGAGCCAGGCATCATGCTGATTCCATGAACTTCACGTGGAGGAAATTGTCTTCGCCAGGAAGAGCCACGCCTAAAATTCTTGTCATCGCTCTGCAATATACAATATTGAATTTTAGTAAACCTAAAATCTTTCACTTGGAGTAGTTGTCATTCCTAGTTTTTGAAATGTTATATTCAGGAAAATAGATTACTGCCAATAGGTTTTTACTGCCAAAAAAGTTTTTTGCAAAAATGTATACTATGGAAAACTTTATCTGTTTCTAAGGTGGCCCATGTTGGCCTTTGCATCCTTTTTGAAAACAGGCTAACAATACATCCACCCATTACATCTGTAATGATATAGCCAGAGTACACTGACAATTACAAAAGCTTCAGAATATAACAAAAGGAATGACAAAAATGTTCAATGTTTAAATGGTTTTCATTTGATTTAGCAGTTGTGACTAGGAGGGTCTTTGCGCACCATACTAGGTTAGGAGGCTCTGCTCATAGTCACCCATGCCCTAGTCATCTCCAGATTGAAATACTGCAATGCACTGCATATGGAACTGCCCAACTAATGCAAATGCAGTGGTGCAGACAAGTTACATGTGCTCCCAAAAGAGCACATCATACTTCTGTTTCATGAGCTGCATGGACTGCCAGTTTGCTTCTGGATTTAATTCAAGGTGCTGGTTTTAACTACTGTTGTAGGTTCATAATGAAAATTATGTGGCTAAAAGAAACTGATAGTATATCCTATCACTAATTGCAGCTTTATGCATTAACATGCATATTGGCAATTAGGGCTATTTCTGCAAAAATATCATGTATTAAATATCATAAGGCTTTATCCTGCCAAAGAACTACAGGAATTTTGCATAGATGATCTTTTTACCTGTTTTCTCTTATTCTGAATTAATTTGACTACATCCTTTTTTTCTAATAAAGTCAGCATAGCCATATTATCTAATTCCTTCCTTTCACTATTTTCTCATCTATGTATAATTATATTTGCAATGATAATAATGCTCAACAATCTATTTTAAGGTATTTATTTCCTTTTCATATATTTTATAGAAAGAACAAATATCTATTGTTCTCTGTTGTTCATAATTCATTATATAAAAATAAGACTACTTACTTCATCAAGGCGTCTATCTGTTCCTAGTGCCAATAAATTGTTGTATTCCCTCTCGAGAATCTGCCGTGCCTATGGTTAACAAATCACCCAATAGAATAATGTAAAAAATACTTCAAATCCTATGGAAATTGAATGGATTTTAAATAGTTAATTTATGTACCTGGGTATTCTGTGTTGGAATCTGCAACAATAAGGCTAAACTGCTATAATCAAAGTTATCATCTAAGGCTATGAGTGACCCATGCACACCACTTTCTAACACATTGTTTGCATAATCTCGTAATCCAATTGCTTGTATCCAGCGTATAACTCTGTCATTGCTCCACGCCAACACATCTGTAAAAAAAGCAAAAAGGTGAATTTTGCTAATAACTAAATTTTTAAAACATAATAAAAGATCTGAGTTAAACCTAACATAGCTATTTAAATTATACTGTATTCCAATGATATTGCCAGACGTGTTCTAAAATGTAAATCAATTTTTCCATGAAATGGATACATGGAATTTCTATAGACAAATTCATATGATGTAACAAGAAACATTTATGTTGATATTCTCTAGTAATGTAATTGAAAAATACTTTAATTACAAATCTAATTAATTATGAAGCTAGATGCTATTTTTAATGTTTTCCCCTTTATATTGTCACACATGAAGGGTCACAAGGATGAGCTTACACTGATAATGCACACAGACATGAAAAGCCTATTCAATGTTAATATATCTCTAGATTAACAATGTTAGCTGTTTAATGTAATGCCATCTATTAATAGTTTTCCATTACAGATTGATATCTATTAAGCTAATAGATGGATACTATTTCTTGCAAACAAACCTGTTACTACATACTTATTGCTTTAGTTATCGTTTTGAGATGCTGGTTTGCATTTATCTGCACATCAATGTACTTTTATGAGACTGTTTCTATTTAGAATATTTTGTAGGATGAGCATTGAGAAAAACCTATTTTATGTTAGTAAAGCATTACCTTTTATTTCATGCTGACTTGCTTCCCTTCTCCTTTCTAATTCTTTTCTATCATAATTCAGTTTCTTTAAACACATGATTCCATATTGCAGACTTGTTCTGTTATTAAAAAAATTAACATAACATAAGGCAATTGGAAAGTCTTATTATTGAACATTCTTACTCAGTTTCATAAATACTGGAACTATTTTGTGGCAAATAATTTGGAGTGAGGAAAAAGCAGAAATCAAAATAATATGTTGACTATTATGGTGCTTGATTATGTTTCTATTCTCTCATTTAGGAGTTGTACAGACCTCTATGAGTGAAGATTACGCACATCTGTTATTAAAAATGTTATAACTTACCGATGAAAACTATCCACCATTTTTAAATGTACACGGAGATCTTTTTTTGTTAGATGATCTAACATCCTTGCATCCACCAAACATTCCATGAAGTAACTTCGGTACTGTGGTAACCCTAGACTGGGAAGCCATTCATTACCAATCCATTCATGGTTCATATCACCATAAGCCAGGGTCTATGGGGGAAAAATAGGGAAACATAATGTTTATCTTATTACCACACCAAACACACACACACACACACACTCACACTAAGGTGTTTCAGTGCTTGGATGAGAAATGTTTTCAAAGAAAAAAACCCTAGATTTGGAATACAAAAGCAAGAATCTGCCAAATCTTATATGACTTCACAACTAATCTACCCCCAAATTCAGGATAATAAATTTTAAAATTCCTAGCCAATTTAGAAGGCATCAGGTTAAAGAAGAGCATTATAGGTGAACAACCCTAATTACATGGCATTCCTACTCCAATATGTCACCAGGTAACAGCATTTCATCAACTTTAGCAGATCTGAGAAACAAAGTGGGGTTGGCCCTAGTAAATACCTGGATGGGGAGTTGGCTAGGAATTGAAAAATCATAAGCATTTTGGAATAAGCAAAGGCAACCTACTTCTGCAATACCACAAAGAATACCGTATGGATGCCATGCAACAAAGGGAATAGAAGGAAACAAACAGAAAACCTTTCCACAAAAAGTGATTCTGGATATGGAAAGAAAAAGATAGTTCACATCATCTATTTAGGGACATGTATTTCTGCCAAAATGAAGCTGTTCATGCAAGCAGTATAGAGATAAGATTTATTAGCTGTATTCATTTACAATATAATGCTAAAAGCAAACTTAAAAGGGTGCATTTTTGTGGTGGTTGGTTTATTTCATAGTTATGGAATCATTGGTGAAATAACTAGCATAATTAGCACAAGCATTACTTAGCATAATTATGTTGCAAGGTATTGTTAAAGCACTTATGCAAAGAACTGCATAAATGGAAACCAAGGTATTGAATGTGGCACTCATGTGAAAAAGAGGTTTTCACCCAGGTAAACATTTTATGCTAGCTTTGGGAGTATAGCACACAATTCAATGACTTGTACCTCAAACCAATAAAATTATCTTCGTAGGTATTAAAATATTTACAATAATAAAAAATACAAAAACCATTTTGTCAAGCTGCAATAGAATACTGATTGAATTGACCTTGTAGCTGGTGTAATATGTAAACTTTCCATTTTCCAATTTATAAACATATAGATCCTTTTAGTATATGGCCATTTAGAAAAACAAAGGAAAGGAATTTTGCAGTAGAACTGTGCCAATCCATCAGCTAATTTCTCATCGGCAGCTACCAAACCTCTCTGCTTAAGACTAGATTAAAGTGAAAAGCACCACATTGGTGAACTCCTCCATCTTGACTATTGCTTGTCTACAGTTTAAGCAATGTGCTCTCATCTATACAAGGGCTGATCAGTCCTACTTCCAGAAAATGAACTACTTTTTTTTCATGTTGAAAAAAAACATGAAGAGGAAAAGGGTTTTACCTGAGCCCAGCTGCCTTCCTCATTGTCCTTCTGCAAGTTGAAGAGAGCCATTAGCAATGACAGTTAAGAACAAAAAACATAGAATATTTAGAGCAATACAATATACGCTTATAATCCCAGATTCTTTCCTAGGGTTGTCATAAAATTTGGTCAGTAGGAGAGGAAAAGAGACAGTAAATAAGCCTCTTGCCAGCCCAGATTTTCAGGATGCTCCAGGCAGAATTACTAGTTGGTGAGTCAGCTGACAATTATGGGCACCGACTGATTAAAGTTTCTCCACCATGCATCTTCCTCTGGGAGGTACTGGTCAAGAGTTTTGACTAGCAGTTTTTGGAGAGCAGTGACGGTACTGGCTTTTGAACTGTCTGCAAGCTTTTGTAAAGCTTGAACAGGATAGGTGGCCTCAATACATATGCATTGTGGACAATTCCACGGCAATCATCCAAATCTGTCAGCTGGGCCAGCAAGCTACTGACTACCCTCCCCCAAGATGTCCTGGTCAGACCTCTTCCCTGGTTGCCAAAGGAATGGGTTTGGGAAGTGCAGTGGTCAGAGCAACTTGTTATGACAGCTTTCTAACCCTGGAGCTTTCTGAACAAAGTGGGATTTGCACATGAACAAATATGCACTCAACAACTGAGCACTGAGCTGATTTCTCAATTTTAATGCATTTGTATTTATTTTGATACAAATTATTTAAGTAGTTTATAATTGTCTACAACGCATTTCAGACATTTCCATAAAATAGCCTACACATAATGAAACTTATTGTGTAAAACAAAGATCATTTTGTAAAATTATTATATTTAGTCCTCCTAAAAATTTCCTACAATGACACTGCAATAACAATGACAGGCAATATTAGAACTAACCGTTTTGGTTGGAGCTGCAAGGTTTTCCATTTCTTCATGGGTTACCCAGACGTTGCCTGAGGGCTATTGTCCATGCCCACAGGATCAGGCAAAATCCATATTAGGTAAGCAGTGTTAAAGAAGAAAGGCAGCAACACTGTAAGTTAACCGCATACAGCATCAAAATGAGCACAACCACATCCTTGTCTCAGATGAGGTGCAGCTAGAAAGCAACGTTAAATAGCTGCTTTCCCCCTGCAATTTGAAAAAAATCCCTCAGTTGAATTATTCTGATATGGAAGGGAGCATCTGCATTCTATTAAACAAATGTGAACAAATAATCCCTACACACTTCTATTACTGTCTTCATAAGTATTATTAATTTAAAGCAGCTTTCTTTATCTGATTTCCTCCAGATGCACTGGAACTGTAATGTCTGTAATTTCTATTGAGCATAGCTAATACACCGAAATGTTAGATTTTGCAATCTCAACAAATCTGGATCTTATCACATTGGAGAATACTGTTTTTATATGGAAATAATAACATTTCACTGAATCTAAGGATATCATACATATTTAAAAGTACAGAAATTGCCCTAGAAATGTGTAGTCCTGCATATCAGAAAAATCATCTGTGAAGTTGATCCAAGAGATACTGAACTTTCAACTGTTGCTACACATGACCTGAAAAGTAGTATAATGAAAGAAATGAGGATTTAAGAAAATAATACTTTAATCCCAATTGGACATCATATTGTTTTTAATGAATAAATATATTTGAAGTGATATTAGCCATAATTTTGGAGTATAAAAACCTTGGTGAACCATCTGAAGGATTACAGTTCAATCAGTAATTCTGTATTCTAGATAAAGTATAAAGAAATCTTATTAAAGATAAAAAAAATAATAAGAAATAAATAAGGAACATCTGACCTGAAGTCCTAACCTGGTCTATCAAGCTGGCCTATTTGGCTTCTGCATTTTAAAGTGACCCCTTACTAATTCCCAAATATCCCATATGATTTTCAGTTTGATGGTTGTAATCCACAAAAGTAAACAGTAATCAATAGGTCTGGGAGCTTTCCCATATTTTCCCTGACAAAGAAAGGAATTGAGGAGCTCCAGGAAGTTTAGCTGCCATGGGTTTCCACATATCAGAAAAGCATACAGAGCTATCTTAGTCCTTGAGGGAAATACAGAGAAGTGATGGCTCCCTGCTTCAGGGGCGCATTCTCTACATGAAAGGAAAAGACAGCCTTCTGCTAACACCATAGAAAAACCGATAACATCAAGATGACTTTTTTTGACATAGGCTGATTTTTAGTCCATTTAGTCCATTTACTCTAATGTTATCTGGTTTATCATCTGAATCTAACTTCTGGACTAGAACTCTTTCACCACCCTTCTACAAGAGAAGACAGAACCTGCTGAGAAAGGATATATTTATCAATGCCTATCATATAGAATGGCTAAACAGGGTTTTTTTCTTCAGAAGTTACTGAATATTTACCTGTTGCCGAAGAACACAAGTAGGAATAAGCTATTATCCTCTTCATTTCTTGGTTGCCCAGAGGCACCTACCAGGACATATACTGGCCTTTTGACAGATCCAGCAGAGTTCCTTTTTATGCTAGGGCATCAGTGTTTCTCAACCTTGACAATTTTAAGGCATGTGGACTTCAACTCCCAGAATTCCACAGCCAGCAATGCTGGCTGTGGAATTCTGGGAGTTGAAGTCCATATGCCTTAAAATTGTCAAGGTTGAGAAACACTGTGCTAGGTGACTCACCGTTCTAGAAGTTGGAGGGGCTGATGGGCTTGTGAGTGACACCATCTCTTGGATTGCCAGACGGAGCTTCAGGCGATGGAGTGGATTGCTGATTCCAATTTCTCTCTGGATTTCAGTATCTGACAGTGCAGACATGATGGCACCACTTTTCACATTTGCACGGCAAGCAGCAACATACCATGCAGGCATTCCCAGCCACAGCTGTTGGGGAAGGAGAATCAGTAGTTAGGAGCAATAGGGTTTTTCTTGTTACCAAAAGCTCAGGGCTGAATTAAATTGGGAACTTGCACTGAAATACACATAATAATGATTGGGTAAGCAAATTCAGGCTTAGGTATTGGGGTTTAAAAGGCAGTACACCATTCTGACATTAGATTTCTTATAATGTTTTTCTTTAAAAAATATTAAACCACCAGATCTTATCCCCAAAACATGAATATAATGGTGTCATCCCATAATCCATTGTAATACTTCCTTTATCAGAAAAACTATTTTTTTCTAAAACAAACAATAATCAAAATACAATAGTCTAAAAAAAATAACCCTGACAGGAATTATGAATGGATATAAACTAATGCAAAGAAGGTAAAATTTTTTAAAAACCTGCCTTTCATGTTGAAAGCATCATGAAAAATGCTTGCCTTCTGACTAACTTAATGTGCTTTAATTAATAATTATTCTGATTAAACAGCAAAATTATAATTATCTGGGGATCTAGTAATTGGTCACTGAAGCAAAGCTCAAGACCAAGATTATTACTAGAGTTAAAGTTAACATAACATTCAAACATAACACACACAACATTTATGGCTACAAATGTTTTCTTGTATTAACTTATTTCTGGATTGCAGCTTTTAAATTTATTTTATAATGATATAATTTTAAAAAACAAAGAATCTGCTTCTGGATTCTATGTAGGTTTTCTTTATAAATGCCATGTATTTTTCTATCTCATATATGACCTTATTTCACATACATGGCATGATGAGCATGATACCCTATTTAAACTATTTTAAAGTTCCCACTTCCTTAAGAATATTTTTTCCTTCTCTCTCAGATTATAAAAATATAACTTACATTTCAATTTCCAAAGTATGGGTGGACTTTTGCTTTATCATTCCTACAGATTTTGACTGAAATATACTGAACTTTTTTTAAAAATTGGGTCATTTTTTAAATTTAAGTTCTAGTATGATATGTTTTGTGAAACATCCTTTTTTTTTTAAAAAAAGAAACCATTTTGTCATTCTATGTAAGAATGAACTGCTTATAGACATTGTTTCGAGAGGGAAATAAGAATAACAGTTGTAATAGGGTCTTTATTTCTGTTTTCAACCTAAATTATAAAATGCTGATGAAGAAGGTAAAATCAGGTATACTAATACTTTTAGAAGGTTTTCCTATAGCTTACCTCTAACCAGGCAACTACCGTTGGCCCATCCCACTGTGCAAAGGGTAATCCCTTCCTCCGAGCTTCCTCCAGAAGTTCATGCCTAAAAGTGCATTAGAGATAGTTAAAGCAGGAGCTAAGACCTAACAACATCACAAATAGAATTCAGAATGGATGAAATAAAATTGTAATGCACCAAGTCAACTGATAATACAGTACATGTTAAATTTTTTCACTCATTTGCTATACTCTTTGAACTTTAGAAAGCACCCCTCTTTTTTTGTTCCTCACTTTGCAATAGTATTTACTTTTCTTGGAGAAAACATTTTCTTGTTTTCATAGATGCATTTCATCTTGGCATATTAATAATAATAATAATAATAATAAACCAATTTTCCTAACATCATATTCCACCCTTTCACAAACTGGTTTATAAAACTATCATTATTCTGTTTTGTTAGAAGCTGTACCTAAGCACCTCAACATATTTATGCTCTAATCATAAAGTAGAAAACAATCAGACCTTAATGCAAGAAAATGTCCAGGTTGTTTAACAAACAAGTCTTTCACAGCTTGTTCAATATGTGTTAACTGTAGATTTCCTCATAGTCTGTCTGCAATTGATTTTTCTTTTAAAAGACTACAGATTTTTGTTAGAGCAAAAGTTTCCTATAGCTTAACAAAAGTATGATTTGTCAAATAGCTTGTAATTTGATAAGGCTGTAAATGCACAAGTATATTTTCTATACACAGGAGATGTGTAATCTGTGGCCCTCCAAATATTGGTGGACTTTAACTTCAATCAGTTTGCCCTGTGATGAAAGAACTAGGTCTTGTAGATAGGCAACATTTGCAGGTCCTTTAGTTGTTCATCCCTGCTATAAATCTTCCTACTTCTGAAATGGTTTCTGCACAGATAAAAATACTATCATCTAGATGGCTCAAAATATTAAAATATGACTTCTGGAGAAGAAATGGTGAACTGAAGACCATAGCATAATGATAAGCCAGTGAGTAGACCAACTTGTTGTAATTCCTCTCCTAATAAGGAGAGGACTTGAGAGCATCCACAAATACTCCAGATGCCGGTAGTTGTTCCTCATAAGGAGACTGCAAAACAACAGTCTGGGGGTTTTAGAACTATGGGAGATGGGGAAATAATTATCTTGCTCAAACCATGATTGGCACCTATAAAAGGACACTGGGTTCGCATATTTTCTTTTCTAATCACTTTCAGAAATTGCTTGTTAATTGCTTTTCAGTTACTGAGAATCTTTACTGAGTCTGAAAAGACAAGGTGAATTTACTTCAATCCTTACTGAAATAAGTTTTAAATACAAGTTTAAGGACCTTTTTTTAATAAAGAGCAAAAGGTTAGTTAAAATGTTGATTCTTGCAAGATATAAATGGACTAATGGCCTAGATGCATTTGAATAAGATTTTGAAATTATTTACAAGAATCATTATTGTGGGAAATTGCTTTTGTTTTGAATTCTTAAAAAAAAATCATACGATGGGACTTTGAAGGTTGGATACTAGAAGAAACTAATATTACAATTAAAGGAGAACACCACTTACAATACATTTGACTTATTAAAACAGAACGGAGCAACATATTTTAATTTTGGATATACTGAAGGATATTTTTGAACAATGGACTCAGAAGTTAATTTTAAGAGTGTTTGTCTCTATGGACAGACTGTCTTTAAAAGAAGTTATGGAAGAGAATAAGTTTTACTGGAGCTTGTAATTTGAGACTGAGACTGATCTGAAAGTGGATTTAAAAGTGACAGACTACAAGAGTGATATGGAAAAAGGGGGTACACTGGACATACAAAATATGTTTTGCATTTCTTAATATTTAAAAGTGATATATGAGTAAAAAACCAAGGTAACAAATCTCAATAATTTTCCTATATTGAATTCACAAGAGAGACTTGTTAAAGCTTTCAAGAATTTTGTGAGACGGGACAAAGAAAATAATGAGAAGAAATCAACTTCTGGGACATTATATAAAGGGACTAAAGATCAAGATTGTTAAAAGTACAAGGAAGGAATATAAAGATGGTGTATTTGATCAAGGTTAAAACACATATGCTGCTCTCTCTGGAAATGGACTTTTGCTGAGCAGGATTGAAATGACAAAATTGTATTTTTGTATTTTAAGAGAAGGTGATTAAGTTCTTAAAATTGTTATTACTTGTGATAATGGCGGTCACTTCTTTATATATTTCTTTTCTTTTTGTTTAATATAGAGGTAATCCTTGACTTATGATCACAATTGAGCCCAAAATTTCTGTTAATAAGCACAATAGTTACTAAGTGTTGTACTATTTTACAACCTTTCTTGCCACTGTTAAGTGAAACATTGTACTTAAGTTAGTAACATGGTTAAGTGACTTTGACTTCCCTGTTGATTTTGCTTGTCAGAAGGTCACAAATGTGATCACATGAACCAGGAACATTGCAAATATCATAAATACATGCCAGTTGCCAAATGGCCAAATTGTGATCACATGACCATGGGGATATTGCAACAATTATAAGTGTGAAAAATGGTCATGTCACTTTTTCAGTGTTATTGTAACTTCAAATGGTCACTAAATGAATGGTTGTAAGTTGAGGACTACCTGTACTTATTTTTCCTTTCTATTGTCTTTTCTGAATCTTCTATTTTTTTTTTTATTCTTTTACTTTGCATTAGTTTTTATCATGGTGATTGTAATTTCTAACAAAATTATCATTAAAAATATATTTCACTACAATCTTCTCTCAGCTTTCTTTGCAATTGTAAATGTTTTGATCAAAGGGCCGTCACAGTTTTCTTTTCTGGGGCAGGAGGATACAGGTCTCAAAGTGTGACCTGATCAATGATGTGGGTAGTGTTAGGTTGTTTTTTTTTTAAACTCTGCAGTGCCTAGGACAGACATGTCAGACACAAGGCCCAGGGGCCAGATGTGGCCCGCGAAGTGGTTTCATGTGGCCCGCAAAGCCATCCTGGAAACAGTGAGGGAACAGCCCCCGCTGCCTTGGCTGTGGCCCAGGCCGGCCGTGAGCCAATGCACAATTTTGTGGTGGCCATCTATGCTGAAATGTATTCAGTCTTAGCTCCACAAGGCTGTCTGGAAACAGCGAGGAACCAGCCCCTGCTGCGTCGCCCCCGCCCCCTGGGTGCATGCTGGGGATGTGTCACCCTTTGTGAGGAATGAAGAAATGCACCATCGCTTGGAAGTGGCCAGCAAATGGCCCTGGCCTACTTCACATATCCGGCTTGATGGGCTCCGGGGGAAGGGTTTTGGCAGGCAATAGGGCACACTCCTCACAGCGCCAAGAGGCTGAGCCCCACAGGTACCCTTGAGCGAACGATGTAGAGCTAGCCATGCCCACCCAGTAGACCGCACCCACCCTGGCCACACCCACCCAGCCCCCCGAGGGCAACTGCAATGCTGATGCAGCCCTCAATGAAATTGAGTTTGACACCCCTGGCCTAGGACTTGTACAGACATTTTCATATATTTCTCAGACTAATAGGAAACCTACAGTTTTCAACAATCATAGTGAGATTACTCCCTCTTATTGCAACTCTGTAAGATACATTCTAAAGTTCAGTGGCCTCCCTGTTCAGACCCTCCACAGCAGTTTTCTGGGAGATTAAGGCAGTTTCAGAAAGGAGAAAAATGCATGCACCCCTGGCTGTTATTTAACATTATTGAACACTGAGTAGCACAGCACAGGATTAACTCAGTCTTCTAACAGTGATTCTCAAAAGTATCTAATCATATTTGCAAATTGAAATTTATGATTATATTTGAAGGCAGGAAAAGCTTGGAAAAATCTTCCATCATTCCTTTTGGATGGTTAAGAGATAAATGCTGAGAAATTAATTCATCACTTAAGTTTACTTATTATTTAGGTATTATTTCAATATTTCTGAGCGATATAAAATTAATTCCAAAAAATTAAAACCAAGCACTATACATTTTCAATTATGTTAAAGTATCTGGACCTTCTTACAATATACTTCCTTGACTGTTCCCACTATTGTATCAGTCACATTAAAAAAATAAAGTAATATTCCAAATTTTAACAAAAAAGGAATGCTATTATAACTATCCCAAAGAAAATCAAAATCTAAATGCAGGTGTCCCTGGGGAAACTCAATAAATGCAACTTTAGTTGAGAATTGCATTTATAGCATTCTGAGCCCCCAATTCTACATGGCCTCTGCCATCCATAAATCTGGTGCGACATGCAGCAGATCCATTATATTTTAATTGATACATACTTCATAATTAATCTTAGCCATTTAGTGGTACAATATATCCATAAATATTTGAAAATTATAAGGCTGATTAGTAATAAGTAGAATCCATTTTATTTTCAAATCCAGATGTTTAAAAATTGTCAGTATTAGTTTGTTTTCCATGGAATGTCAAGCATATTTTCTTGTGATATCAAATGAGAGTGGCATTGTAACTTTATTTTAAGAACTCAAGCCAGTTCGGGCATAGATATGACATATAAGCTAAATATGGAGTTTATGATAATTTTTCTTCTAAATATTATAGGAATGTGGCCTAATTTAGCACACAAAACATTAATTCATTGAGCTTAATTTATACAATATTCATATTTATTTTAGAAAATATGTTCTAATCCAGTTTGCCAATGATGGAAAGTAGAATCCAACAGGAATATTCCATACTTTGTTAAACTAGATCAGCTTTCCCAGCTTGGCATTTGTCAGACATACTGAAATATAACTTTCATCCTCCCCAGTCAGCATGGCCAACAACTGTAGTCTAAAACTCTTGGAGGATATTAGATTGGAGAAAGCTGGTCTAGATGAAAACTAAATTTCAATGTAGAGCATAGAAGAAAAAAAGAAAAATTAAATTAGTCATCCACACATTCATTTATTTATTAATGTAAGATAGGAATGAAATCAATTGGTAAAACTCACGTTTAAATAATGATCAATCTTACATATGTTATTGTGTAATTTTATTTTTTAAAATATTTTTTGATTCATGTAGTGCAGTGCAGTGTAACAAGCTGAATCTATCACTTCTGAATTTTTTTAAAAAACACATACATGTTAGT